CGGAACATGTAAGTGCAGTCGCAGGCCTGCTCAGTTGTTCTACAGCACGGGGCACTGGCCAGGTCCCCCGGCCAGGGCACCCAGGATGAAGACCACACCTGGGTCTGCCTTTCATTAGGGCCAAAAGGTCTCCTTTCCCCTGGGGGCATCCACGCATCCACCCTGACAGGGGGACTTTCTTTAAAAAGAAAAAAAGATGAAATGAAAGCACCCTTAAGGAAATCGGCACTGGGTCTCCAGCCTGCCCTTCCCCACCTGATGGAAACCATCCCAGAGCCACCAGGAGGTAGGCTAGGACTTCCTTGAGAGGTCACAAGGAAACCACTTGATGGAGAACTTGTCTCAAGAGATGGGGGGGGGGCGGTTGAAGCCCACCACAAAGACCATTATGAAGGCAAGTGTTGCCCAGGGCTCGAGAGTTATCTTCCATTTCCTGACAGGACGGTCTCATAGGCCCCGTGAGAGGGAGGACATAACCACTGCCTTCTGCTAGCTCAGTGCTCCTTAAACCATCTGTGGCCAGTGACCAGCTTTTATTTTTTCTTTTTAGCACTCTAATCCATTGTAGCCCGATACTTCCGGATACTATAAAAATAAATTACTAGAAATATGATCATACACTTGGATGTGTGGCAATGTCAAATTGCTCTACAAGTTTCTAATACTCTCACTTGCTGTGTGCATTAGATCACAGGCCAGTACCTGCCAGTGAACCACACTTTGAGTAGCGCTGCTCTAGTTGGCTGGGGAATTACCAGGTTCTCAGGATCCTGAGAAATAAAGAAATGCTCAATCTATGGAGGAACTTCCAGAGAACTCGTCCTGGTGTTGACCTCAGAGTAAGAGCCAGAGGGGAACCACCAAGGACAGGCACGCATTGAAAGGCAAGCCACAGTGTTTCTGGGGAGATTTTTCCAAACACAAAGTTGGGCAATCCCATGATGTGGCCAAAAATGATCATGTCCCAATCACTAGCTTTTAAAGAATTAGTAATCTTGGAGTCCCGCTGGACTGCTTTTGCAATGCTTTATATATCTTCCAATATTTTTGTCATTTTCAAGAATTTGGGTATTTTTCACTATCTTTTCCCCCTTTGACTTCCAATTATTTCTCAGTTAATTAATTAGAACATTTCAGGGGGGCCACCATCTCTCATTACACTGGGTTAGCCTTGCATACACCATTGTCCTTCTGTGAGCCTCAGTTTCCTCATCTGTAAATCGAGGAGCCACCCCAGCCTTGCAGAGCTGCAGAAGAGTCGCGAAAGCC